AAGTAACAAGAGAATGATGAGCCAGTTTGGATGAGTCAGCATTTTTTTTCATGGGCATGATTATTCTAATCAGCTGAAAGTTCGCTGATTTGGTGAGATTTGCAATGGGAACAGTCCCCACTCAACTCTACCATATTATTTAACTGCCATTTTGTTTCAGCTCTTTTTCTTATTGGTTCTTGCCTTTATATTTATGAACTTTCTATCTTTCGATATGGTTTGATTCCCATTTAGTGCCATGTGTCACTATTCTCTTATGAATTATATAGCCTGCGTGCAGTCTCCACAATGATCTGGTGGTAGTAGGCCTTGCTAAAACATGTATGGTTGTTTCATTGAGCATAGCAATGGCTATGCCTAATTAAAATATACCAGTATACGCCTGACTTGGGCATCATTTATAGTATCGGGATTGTTTTACAGTTTATTTGTAGTTGTTTGCAACTTCATCAATGCAATAATTGTAACCAACTGACTCTTATTATTTATTTCAACTAATCCAACACACACTGTAAAAATATACAATCACATGAATTAAATGATGAACATCATTAGATAAACAAAATATAGATTTATTAAGACACATTAGTGGTTGATGGTCAGTCACTATGTTAAACTTCCCTGGGGCGGATGCAGGGGAGTGCAGAGGGTGCGATCGCACCCCCTCCAACCAAATTGTATTAAGAAAAATAATTGTTGGATTATATTGTTGATATGAATTATTGTTAAAATTTTTAAGGAAAATAAGAGTGGAATTTCCGGGCACCATGAGGTCCATATTTTCAAAATTTTCACACCTCAGCCTCAACCAGGTTGGGGCTGAGGTGGTGGGCTCTCACGCACCCATGGGCACAGATTATAGGGGGAAGGGATAAACGCAAGAATTTGCCCAAGGGGGGGGTTCCGAGGTCCCCGACGACAGGCCGATGTACAATTTAGGGGTTTCAAAGGCTTACTTAATCGATTTTAGAATCTACTAATATCTACAAAATACTTACTTTTTTTCCTCCCCCACCCACGCTGGCGCCAAACCTGTAAACGTCCCCTCACATATTTTTTAAGGGGAAATGGTTGGTCCCCCACTTTTTCCTGAGTCAAGAAGATATGCCTGAAAATTGTAATATTTTCTATGGTACATCACAGCGATTCATTAGATCGATGATGATGAATTTTACTATATAAGGTGTCATATCCGGCAATCTAGAAGTACAATTTCCCCAAATTTTACCACCTCAGCCCTAACTGTGGTGGAGCTGAGACATGTGTGGACTCACAGTTTTGAAGTAAGTAAACATCAAAGGCAATGTTTTTAAGTTTTATTTTCTATGGTAACATACATCACACATACTAAATAGATCTCTATGGTTGCGAAAACAGCTGATAAAAGATCATGAAAATTTGTTGGCGCTTCATTTTGACTATACTATAATGGTGAGGTGATGATGATGAATTTTATTATTTAAAAGTGTCATTTCCGGTCATCTTGAGGTATTATTTCCTCACCTTAGCCCCACCATGTGGCCGGGCGGCTTTGAGGTAGGTTGAGTATATTAAATACATCAAAGAAAGTGTTTCCTTAGTTTTATTTTCTATGGTACAAAACTCGTATTAATTAGATCTCTATTGTTTCCGAAAATCACTGATTTAAAGATCATAAGAAATTTGCTGGCACTTCATCTAGACTAAGAAATGATGGTGTGATAATGGTGAATTTTACTGAATAAAAGTGCCATTTCCGGCCATCTAAAGGTACTATTTCCTCAAGTTGCTTCACCTCGGCCCTAGCCATGGTGGGGCTGAGGTGGTTGTGGACTCCCAGCTTTGGAGTAGGTAAAGTGAATACATCAAGAGAATGTTTTTAAGTTTTATGCATACATTATCTAATTAAATCTTTGTGGTTGCCGAAAATCGCGGATACTTTTGACTATATAATGGTGATGTGATGATGAATTTTACTATATAAAAGTGTAATTTCCGGCCATCTAAAGGTACTATTTCCTTAAATTTTTGCACACACCCCCTACCGCCATATATTGTATCCTGTATATAAGTAAAGGGGATAAAGAGAGAATAGAAAGGGTGCTGGGTATGATAGGGAAAGTTATTGGTTCGCCTGTGCAGTCACTCAACTCATTCTACCACGAACGGCTTGCCATTGTTTTTAAAAATATCCTAGAGGATAACAGCCATCTGCTCCAGGCGTATATAATCGGCTCCCGCATAGGCAGAAGTGGTAGAATGAGGACAGTGGGTGCGCATACAGACCATTACAAGTACTCATTCTACCAAGCTGGGATTGGGAGTTTAATTTAAGATATCAAAAAGATATTATAAAGCAAGTGAGCAATGAAATTTCCAAAAATAATTGAACAGTAAATTAATCTGTATCTGTAACCATCAATCTGATGCGTCTGTCTGCTGTTTAAACTCTGCCTTAAAGTCTGGGTTCCTTACAACAGGACCAGAACTCAATGCTGATTTTCAGCTTTACAATTGCCATCCACGCAATCAGACATCCATTAATTCTTTTCTGGCAGAGGAGCTACAATATCAGCATAGTTAGAGATAAACTTCAGGTACTACCCTGTCAATCCAAGGAAAGATTTGACATCCTTCTTAGATTTTGGTTGCTCCATTTACTACCGCCTCTACCTTAGTTTATGGAGGTCACACCATCCCCCAAATAATGCACTTTTTACTATGTGCAAAACTATACTTGATAGATTTTACTATAAAGTTTGCCTGCTTGAGTTTCTGAAATATTTCTCTCATATGATGGACATAACTTTCCCAATCTGGGCAAAATACTGTATCACAAGATCATCCATATAGGCTGCTGCATAGCTTTCTTTCCCATACAAAAGACAATCCATCATTCTTTGAAAAGTTGCAGATCCCTATGCAAGCCAAATGTTAAGTACTTAAACTGGTACAAACTACAGTAGAAGCTGCGTCGAAGGTCAGACATATGTAGAACAACCGCTCTCAAATACTACTTAATATTATAAATCCTAAACCTACACATGATATAATCTAAAAGTTATTGCATAACAGGTTTCCAGCAGCATAATATACTGACATATTTTTCAGACTTGGTGTTATTGACGTTGAAATTAGCAGTTTTTTTTTAAAACTCACAATCTACTAAGATCGCTAGCCTCACATGGGAGATAAAACAAAGCAACTTCCCGCCACAAACACCGGTGCATCAACAAGGCATTCCAAACAGGTACGGTCAACTGTAGCAGAGGTGATCAATAGCCCTGATCTCAATATACTTATCGAGGACAATATTAAAAAGGCATTTGATGGTCCCTCCATAGCTGAAACCATTTTTAAGATTGTTTCTAAAGCCCTCGAAAGTCAGACTTTTGTTGACCTGATCAACAAAACAGTAACAATTTTGATAAAAAAAAAAAACAATTGTTAGGCTAGACCACCTGGAAGGCCAGATTTTTTATTTTACAATTGTATTGTTGAGTCCAAAACTTGGTACATGGAGGAATTACAGGACAAAATTAACAAACAAAGAAAACTAATTGACGACTTGGAGCAATACTCACGAAGGAATTGTTTACATGTTTTTGGAATTCCGGAATCAAAGTAGGAGGATACCGATGACATTGTAGTAAAACTAGCCAACAGCAAACTCGGTATTGATATCTCTAAACAAGATATTGATAGATCTCATCGAACAGGAGCAAGGAACAGTCACCCTGGTAGAGAAAGACCTATTATTGTTAAGTTTACATCATATAGAAATAGAAAGAAAGTTGTAACATCAAGGAGAAAGCTTAAGGGAAGTGGGATATCCATCCAAGAAGATTTGACACTGGTGCGCCGTACCTTGCTTGCTAAGGCTAAACAACACCCAAAGATTCAGGCCTAGTTCAGACTAGATGGATAAACCCGGCTAAACTCACCAAGTTTATCCACCTGCCAGTCTGAACTATCTGTCTGGTTTATCTCAAGCCGGGCTGTGTTCCTATAGTAACAAGGCCTGGCGTGCCACCGTGTTTTACTTTTCTAAGCCGGGCTTTATTCGTTGTTGGGGGGGGGGGGTGTCTTGCATTGACTTCCAGGTAACAAAATGATAAATCAGCATTCAATTACGTACGCTGTGAGCGAGCGTACGTACGTTTCGCGTGCAATGTTTTGAAACACGTTTCCTGGTTACGGTTCATTAATATGCAAATTCTCGCGCCTGGCTAATCCCGCTAGTCTGAACGCCCGGCAAAGTTAAGCCGGGCTTAACATTGAACCAGGCTTAACTCAAGCCTGGCATATCTCCAAGTCTGAACGTAGCCTAAGAGTGTTTGGTCGGTAGATGGGAAGATATCAGCCTCAATGGAAAAGAATGGCAGGGAAATAGTCATAAAACTTCAATCACTAACTGAACTTGATAAAATATGAACATATTTTAAAACCTGAAACTACTAACTTTTACATTATCTCATTGGCATTTTTTCCATTATCACAGTTAACCTTCAATCCCTTTACATGCTTAATCTTAAATTTTCCTCTATAAATATGTCAAATTGTGCATCACTAATTTCAGGGTAGCTTCGATATATTTTTGTGTATGAGTGTGTTTGTTGTATGTATATAATAGGCCTGTGTTTATGTGTGTGTGTATATATTGGTATTACTTACTCTTACCACTGATAGTATACCCCCAATCTTGGATAATTTTTCTGCTAACAAGCAATGTGCAATTTCATATAAGATAGTATAATACGTACTCCAAGTATCGAAATGCACGCCATCGTGTCGGGATTCAATGTTTCAACATTAATTAGTTCGGGAGTGCCATTTGAGACCATGACCTCCATCTCTAATCCCTGGGCCCCTCTATTTCAATTTTCCTGGATCTGTCACTGACAGACAAGCTGTAATGATAGACTAAAGACAAGCAATGGCCATAATGATGTACTATGCAGATAATATGTGAATGTTGTTATTCATCCAGTAAGTGCAAGTTAAAATTGTATTTTTTAGGGGAGACACAGCAAGCTTTACGAGCCAGAGTCAACCAACATCGCAGACCTAGTACAAGTGAAGCACAGGAATCGGCAGTCTTCCAACACATCAAAACTGGACACACATCCAAACCAGACGTTCTTATTCTAGATAAAGAGGATAGTGGTTCGAAAGAGGGGTTAAAGAAGCGATCTGGGAGAGGGTAGAGAACCCTAGTTTGAACCGAAAAGGACTCCATTTTCAACTATCCAGGACTTGGGACCCGGTACTGCGCAGCATTCCTCGCCACCTGACTCGTGATCAATCCAACGGGTCAGTTGTCTGAAGAAGTTTAGCGGGGCTGGACGAAACGTCACTCAACGTTAATTATAGTAAGTTCCAGTTTTTGATTAAAATACAATTTTAACTATGCAGATAATAAATAAATAAGATAAGGTAATGGATTCGATAAAATATCTCACCTGAAGCATGCTGAGAGGCTCATTAAATATCACAGGCATTGCAATTTTTGACAAATCCTTTCCAATATTCTTCTTCAAAATGTTCCAAATACTAATATCTGAGGTGTCAGGCTGGGGGGAAGGTAACCGACTTCTCCTTCCGGTCTGTGAACGTGGACCTGGTAATGCCACCTCAGTAAGCTCTTCCACTGAAATACAGTTTTAAAAAATGGTGAAGTGTAGACTACAAAATAGTATACAAATAAAGAATGTTTATGAGCACAATAGAAGAATATTTTCAAGAGTTTAAAGATTGACAGTTCTATTTGACGAGACAGAACTGAGTCAAACGGAACAGTTAATCTTTCAACAAATGAAAATATTTATTATTTGTTTTATAACACACCTAAAATAGATTTTTCTCATCGATATTTTATGAAAAAATCTACCTTATTACTGAATGGAGATTCTTGTCATTTATATATTTTTTTTAAATCTACCTTTTTCTAAATAGAACAGTCCAGCATCTCTTTAACCAATCAAAAGATTGTATAGGTAGAAGTCATATGGTATACTAGGCACCATGGCAATGGGCAAAAACGGATGGAAAAATAAATTTCCATGAGGAGTGACGAAATTGGGTAATACGAAATCCACCAATCAAAATAACAGGGATCTATTTAAGTGTGTTATAATATAAAATATTACACTAGAACATCATAATATATACACAATAAAAAAATATAATATAACATTCAGTATAATACAAAAACTCAACTAAACCAGCGATTTCCAACCTAGGGTCAGCGGACCCTACAATAAAAATTATGGGGGTCTGCCAAACCAGAAGGTTCTGCAAAAACATTTTGGGGATCAACTAGCATTTCAGAGGATTTTCTTCACGATTATATTACTTTTAGAGTATAAATAGAGACTATTTCTCATTGGAGATTACCATTTTCTCGATGAATTCTTTGCTACTAGACAATTCAAAGGCTGTAGATCTCATCTGCTGGAATGTTCACGCTTTTGTGTATACTTTATACAGTCGAGCGTAAGAGGTAGGCAGGGTAATTGATTCACGAACCTACCGCATTCTTATCTTCTTATATATTTTTTTATCTCGCCCTCCCCCTACCACATTGCCATGAACTCTCATAAGATATTTAATTCATCCTACAATTAATTAAAAAAAAAAAAAACATTAGTTAATCTGTTTTACTGAACTGTTTACATTGTCGATACAATTGTCAGCAAAAAAAATAAAGTGCGCTCTCTCTAATGAGATTAGTTTTTGTACTACGCATCTCGCACACTCCTGTCGATTGAGCAGGCCTGAGATACTGTTACTGTTCTGTAGCCGTCTTCCTCAGAAACACATTATCGTCATTGATGGGATCCGTTGACAGAATCACTGCTGATGGCATTAACTTGAGATCAATAATATCTCATTATGCTTCACAAATGCATTCTCTTATATTATTTTGCTTTTATTTATTTACTTATTTATTTGATTATTTAGATATGTTTGTTTAATTGTCAAAATTTCGGTCAGAACTATTTTTCATCAGAAAACAAATTTGAAATAATTCCAACGAAATATTATATTTCACAAGTGTCAATACTACCAAAGGAAAATATCATGCCGGCTATGACAACAGAACCTAAATCAAGGTAAAGCTTAGCCTAACCTAGCAGTGTTGCTAGGCTAATGTTTCTACCGCCTACTATAATTCTTTACAGACCAGACCGCAAAATCAAACATAAATTCATCTGCTTTAATTTCTGTCATATTTTGCATTCTTTTCATATTCAGGAAGGTGTAAATTCAGTTAAACTAGCAATATTTATAAATCTTTATAACATATAAAATTCAGACTTTTCTAAGAACTGAAATTTGCAGGGAATGGGGCTTTGAAATTCCACTGCATATTTGTCCTATTCTTTTCATTATTCCATACGAAACTCGACAAACATTGTGCATATATATTTTTTCTGAACATCATTAAAAATTTAAATTATATATTATATTACATTTATAAATCTTTATAACACATAAAAATCAGATTTTTCTAAAAACTAGAATTTTGCGGGGAATGGGGCTTTCAAACTAATAATTTCACTGTATATTTGTCCTATTCTTTTCATTATTCCACATGAAACTCAACAAAATTTTGCATACATATTTTTTTAAACATCATAAAAAATTAAATTTTGTTTTCTTGTTTAGCAAACTGTTTCGAAAAAAATTTAAAAGTTAAAGTAATAGTGGCCGCTCTTTTGCTTGTGCTAGAGATAATATTGCATGATTGCAAATATTGAAAAGTTTTGATGTATGAATTTACAGTTTTAAAGCAAAAAGAAGCTAAAAAACTATTTTTAAAATTTTGTTAGATGTGGAGTCAAATTGTGATATGTACTTACTACTTCTAAACTCTTCTGATGGAATCTCAGATTCATCTGCCTCACTTGCTTGTGAGGAACTCTCTTGATCATCCTCAGCCTGTAAACAAAACAGTTAGAATTAAAGGTATACTACAGGTATCAGTCAAAAATCGAGAAAATAACCTTAAAAATTAAAATAAAATTTTGAATAGGCTATTTTATAGAATCAAAAAAATTATTAACTTTCACCAGAAAATCCAAGCGATTAAAAATATATTCGCCGACTTTCGTGCATTTGAAAAAAAATCCTTAAATTAATTACCAGCCAATTTAAGGGTCAATGCATGCGCCAAGTTTTTTATAAATAAATCATTAGGTATTTTTCAGTGAATTTTTTATCGCGTTACAGCTAATTTTCTGAAATGCGGCTAGCTGTCTGTTGTTGAGAACAGCTGCTGTGTGATACTGCGACAACAAGAGAGCACAAGATCGTGTTGTCTGCTTGACCTACTGCAGGGGCAGAGAAAAAAAGGAGCAAAATTATGCACAACGTGGCCAACAGTCATCGTCGACTGACAATTACTATTATCCAATTCAATATGAAAGATGGATAGTGATCAAGAAAGCAAAACAACTAAAAATAATGGCGAGGTAGTCAAGTTTTTGCTAGCCTAGGCCGACTGAACCAACCCGAGGTAGTCAAGTTTTTGCTAGCCTAGGCCGACTGAACCAACCTAGGCCTAGGGTAGTGAGTTAGGACTAGGCTAGGTCTTCATCATACGATTACGAATCCAAACGGTGAGTTATGTCCAAGATATCTACTAGCTGGTATCTTTGGTTACGTGCTAGGCCTAGCCTAGATATAATATATTAATATTTTAGTAGCCTAGGAATGTTCCCAGCCTTCCTAGAGTAGCCTAGTAGAGTAGGATTTTTACGCCTACCTTCCTAGCTAGTATTACTGTACTACTAACAAGCTACCCATCCTAGTTAATAGTTAGAAGTAGCCGGGGTAGCCTAGGCCCCTAGTAGTAGACTGTCTGTATCATCTCATCTCTGGTGGGCTATCTGTTAGACGGGCAGATTTAGATGAAAAATAGGGATTGAGTCAAACAAATTGCAACAGCTTGTTTTATTGCTGATTCTGGTTCATAAGGCTGTGCTAAATGACATATCCAAAATGGGATGCGAGTTTCAACCCAGAAGTCACCTAATTTGCATAAATATGCAAATTAGCTTCCGTCATTAAAGGAAAATAGAGTATTCGCAATAATTCTGCATCTAAATTGCATTAGAGAAAAATTGATTTATTGTAATAACTTTTTATCTAAGCATTCAACCATGACAAGTGTTTATATAATATAATTATATTAAAAAAATAAATAAATAATAAAATAATAATAAACAAATAATAATAATAATAATAATAATAAAAATAATTAGTAGGTAGGCCTATATAAGTATGGTACAAAGGTATGTCCACCCAATAGAAGTGTATGATGGGTACCTGCAAAAATCAGCTACCAAAACAGTGACACACCAAAAACATACAGGGGGAACATAATAATACGCATTTCTACTTCTTATGACCAAAAGAAAAAGCACATTCAATATTTATTGAATTGATGTTTTTATCAGATTAACCAATGAACAATGTCAACAATTATCATGTATATTAGTTTTATTTACTTAAGCTAAATATAATGAAATGGATCACACGTTATATTGTTAGATTATGTATAACTGTACTGTAAAACACTTATCCGAAAAACACCTTTTAATTTAAATCGTTCACAGGGAGCATCGCAAAATAAAGCAACGCGTATACCCGTCTACAACGCGTGGTTGGGATTATAATCTCTTCGCGTTGCCGACGAGTGGTTCAAGATACTGATCAAAAATGTTGGACGATTCCATTTCGCGAATTAGGGTTCGTTTTCCGACGTTTTTGTTCTACTTGTTTGCGTTGGTTTATCTCATGATTTTGATGTACTGTAATTTATCGACAAGTCTCTTTTCTATGTTTTGTCATAAGATTAATTCATTATTATGAATTAATTTTAATACTATATCCTGTCATTTGTTATTGAGCTATTCTGTAAAATTTTAAACCGAAATGTCGAATACCAAGACTCAAAACCCACTGAAATTTCCTATACACTTTTATACTGTATTATAATCAAGCCAAACTCATGTTTTTGCCATGAATATTGACGGCATAAACGCAATTTAATGCCAGTATATTGCTTTTTCTAGAACTATTCATAGGAACATTCCCACGCTCTGCTGCTATGGAAATACAAACTGAATCAAAGTGTATGTGTCGTTGATCTTGCTGCCGGCTGAGTTATGAATAGCTCAAACCCTTTGTACGCCGCCCAGTGTTATAGCCAGGCCAAATGAGTCTCGCTTTCAATTATACTTTATATTTGTTATATATATTTGAAAATGGATTTGGTACGATACAAAAAAATTAATTACAATAAAGACAACAAGGAAGTGACAAACAGAAATTAAAAATCAAACAAGAACAGCTCATTCAGTAGAACATAAATTAAAGTTAATTAGCGTAAACAGTTTATTACATGAACATAGGCCTACCCGAAAATAAAAATAGCTACTTACAGCGTGGTATGTACTACCAAACACATGCTAGAAATACCTAGTTAACGTCTATGAAGGCAATAAAAACTACATCGCGTTACCCAGACCACTTTTCCTGTCTGTAACCATAGCGATAATCTAATTAACGTGAGCCCATAAATCCAATTCCAACGAAGGCCGTTCCACTACTCACACCTGTCAAGTGTTCAATTTTGATTCAGCTAGCAAAGGCCCTCAACGCTTACCTTAGTATGAAAGAAATCTAAGAACTGAATGTAAAAACCAGGGAGGTTTATACCTCCCTGTAAAAACAAGGAAAGTTCTGTAATGGTTCACATGTCATTTAAACGGTTTCAAGATTTGTATCACACCTCTCATCCCACAATATGGCCACGTAACAGCACCATGAACAGCTTCAATTTAACACATGGCTATATAAATCCAAAATATTATATCCCGCCCTCATTGTTGAAATTTAAGCAATACAGTATTTACATTAGTCCAGCCTGATCTAGTAGCCCTAGTGTATACGACGTGGTTGACACCGGAAACAACGTTGCTAATTCTCATATTAAAGTAAATAAGGGAAACTAGGTCGTTTGGATTAGATATTAAAATATGTTAATAGTTGATCGATTAAAAAAAACAAAACAAAAGAAAGAAGATATTTTTTTACAAGATGAATTAATAAAACTTCTAAGATACAAAAGTTCTTGCTTCTGTACAGTATTATAGAGAAACTCTACGGCTGCGCATACTTGTAATAAGACCAAAATTGGTTGGTTGATTTTTCTTGTTTTTGTTTTTCGTTTCGTTTTTCGTTTCGTTTTTTTTTTTTTTTATAAATAAAACTCAGACATAACTCAGCCTCAATTTGTTCTTATTTTGTTTACTTTAAAGTCATTTCAGCCTCGGCTTTCTTATAATATGTGTTTTTATGAAGCAGAAAGTGTATTGAAGAAACCCGACCTTTTTGGATTATAAAACTCCCCCTCGTCTACGACAAACCGAGAAACAACATCGAAATCCTTTAAATAATACAGTAAATAAATAAACTAGGTCGTTTATATATAAATAGGCCTAATGTGTAAGACGAGAATACAAAATCACAAATTATAAACAAGTCAGTTAACAAATCTAGGCCGTTCAAATATTAAAGGCCAAATTGTGAAGAATCAAGCAGTTGCTGACCCACGAAAGGAGATATGA